ACATTTAGGAGGATCTCCTGGCAGAAATGGAATATAATCTGTATAACCTGAATATAGGAATTGTTTTGTTTTTTTAATCTTAGAATGATATCTACAAACGCTGTGAGTCGCCTTCCATGGAGTCCACCATGTTGGACTGCCATGTTTCTATAGTAGCCTAGAACAGACTCTAGACGGCCACCATAGTTTCTCCTTCCTACTGTGAAGGCAAGGGTGAAGTGACAGACCACTAGATACCACTAAATCCCACACATTGGACCTTTAAAGGCCTTTATTTGACAATGCAAAAACATGGGCTCATATCAGGAACCTTAATACTGCAGTGTAGTACACATCTTAAACCCTGAGGCCAAAGGAACTGTACGTCCATCCAACTGCGGTTATCAGCAGTTTTTGCTCTGTACTACACACTGCATGAAAAGCTTCTTTATTTTTCTAGGTTGTGAGGGCTGACAGCACCTCAAGCAGTTGTACACAGCCGTGGTTGTCATTGGTGTTAATAAAATGTGTGGTAAGCTAAAAAAAATACCAATTTTATCAGTAATCAGTGGAGCAGCAATGCTCACCAAGAGTGACAAGTTTCTCTCCATCAACTCTCCATAGCTTTCTACATTTTGGGTGTGGTCACAGGTCAGAAATAAATAAATGTAACATGATACTGTAGTTCCAACAACTACTTCCATTTAGAGCTTTAACCAGTATTTTACACATAATGTCTAGGATCAATGTCAAAGTTATTAACTTGTTCTAATCCATCACTTGGTTATAATACACTTTAATATAGGTACAATAAACACCCAAATGCAATCTGAAGAAACTATTCAATCTTGAACCTGATGGTGTGTGATCATAAGTGTGTGTGGGTGTGTGTGTGTGTGTGTGCGTCACTCACAGTGATAAAATCACTCTTCGGTCCAATGCGGCTGAACACCAGCTGTTCTTGGGAGAAGTGCAGTCCACCGATGTTCCAGGTGACCCGCACAGCACCTCTCAATTCAGCATCTTCTAAACGCTGTACAAACTGCTTTGCAAATAACTACAACAACAAGAAACAACCCATTATACATACATACATACATACATACATACATTTGGAAATGATGGGGGACTATTTTGTGTTGAGATTTTTATAAAATTGCAGATGAACAAGGAACCTTGATGCTCTCCACCAGTGATCCAGGGGGTGGCTCCTGGAGAGCAATGGTCTCAGATGTGTCTATGGTGAAGTACACGTCTATGGGACATTCATTCTTCTCTGGAAGGATCACACACACAAAATACACATATAAAACCTCCATGGAAAATTGCAATGCATTAAAATCAGCAAGATGAAGTCTTCCATATTATATCCCTAAAACTGTTTTAACAGATTAACATGACATGTTAGTGTGGCTGTGAAGCAACAGGGGTCCAGTTCGTGGCACTCACTGCTGCACGTTGTTTGCTGGCCGTGAGTCAGGGCTCCAAAAAGAAGACAGAGCACGATGACCTCTAACCCGAGCATCTTCCTCTTTTCCTGTTTGACACACAAAGGCACAAGACACACAACTAAGCAAACAATCTATTTTTCGCTGTATCTTTCAAAGTCAATAAAGTGAAAATAGAGGTCATGGAAAATGTAAAATACAGAAAAACACTGAAACAACGAGATGATGTGCTTATTTTAAAATAACCAGCACTGTAGACTAATATTACTGTGACTATTACTGTGCTGTAGTCTAATATTAATTTAGAATATATATTAATATAGAATTTTCTTATCATCCATAATGTACAATGTTTCTCAAGAAGTGTTGATTTACTGCCAAAGTAATTTGCTAAATATTTTTCTTCATCTGGTATGCACCTGGTATTAATTTATGTGAATTGTATTAAGAACAGTCTACAGCCTGTTGCTCTGGGGACAAAATGGCTGCCATGGGGTTATGTAATAGGTTTGAAAGCATGACATGAGTTGAACATGGCTCTTCTTTATTGTGTTTAATGATGGATATGGAAACAACAGAAGCTAGAAGAAGTGACTGATTGGCCGGCATTTGCCTGCCAATGGATTATTCATGTAGAAACCTGGACACAGGCCTTAACATACAGCCATGACAAATGGAAGTTCAATCAGATCTACTCAATCTATACAGGCCTGAGTTTTCAAAGGACTCACAGTTCAACCAAATGAAACTTATGAGTCTAAGATTAAAAAAAATAACTAATTATCTAAACTATCTTATCTAAATAGAACACCACAATCTTTCAAGTCAAAGACAAATTATACAAACATTACTCTGGGTGATGACAAAAATGAACAAAAACAATGAACAGATTCTAGTTGTATTTGGAAGCAGAGAGCAGAATCCTGATTGAATATAACAAGGCTCACATTTTGGTTTTAAACCACAAGATTTCACAAGGCCTTAGTTTGCTGCCCCCCAGAGGTTTTCAGGGTGGCTGTCATGGGCGAATTAACCAATTGGGGGGCACTGGCACATTGACCTTTGTTTGGTTAAATTCACATTTACATAACAATAGGCACAATGTAACAGAGCTGCCTTTCAGGTGTGCATATTCCTAAACAAATCCACAGTTGATCAAATTACCACAAACCAACCAACTGACACACACTTGATATGAGGCCTTCAGGGCCCCTGAAGGTTTGGGCCCGGGACTGTGTCCACCTTGTCTAATTAATATTCCAGCCCTGCTGTCTGTGTGGACGGCGACTACCCTCACATCCAGTAAACACTCTGTCACTGGTAGCAACATATCAACAAAGCCTACAGTCAGTCTGTCTATCTGTCACTCTACATCAAGAGCTCAACCCAGCAACCCTGCTAACTTATATCCACTGCAGCATAGCCTACTGTTTTTTACTCTGTAAACATCGGCACCCTCACAAAACAAGATTTTCTATAATTATATGTCACTGTAACAGTCAATGTGCCTTGAAATTATCCTTTTTTAAAAATAGTTATGAAAACAAATATAAACTAATTGATGTAAAAGTGATGTATCTGTCATTTGAAAAGCAACTACACTAAAAAAAAAATCCAGTTACATTAAAGGAAACAATATTTTCAGACATATCATGTGAGACCTTCTTAAAAACATTTTATGCACACCATACAACAGACTGTTTGCTGTGGCTCCCTCTGGCGGACTGACAGCTGTGAGCAGCGGAGGAGTCGCTCCTGCAGATGTTCCCACTCTTTTCCCACTGTCCAGGCCAGTAGAGTGAGTGGGAGTCCTTGTAGCTTTTCATCACTGCACAGGTGAATATCATGCTAAAAATATACAGAGATAACAGCACGACTGATAGAGCCCATGCTCTCTCTGGGATTTTTCCTTGGGTTTTTTGGACTGTGAAAGAGTTGAGTATTCAAAGTTTGTTCGCGCAGTAGTTTAGTTTTGCTGAGAAAAAGCCCTTATTTCTGTTGATGAGAGTACGTTTAAAGACATGCAAACAGACAGAGACAGACAGACAG